AAAAAAAAAGGCCAGGTCCAGTGGCTCACACCTGTAATCTCAGCTCTTCAGCAGGCTGAGGTGGGTGAAGCATGAGGTCAGGAGTTTGAGACAGGCTGGCCAACATGGTGAAACCCTGTCTCTATTAAAAATACAAAAAATTAGGCATGGTGGCATGTGCCTGTGATCCCAGCTACTCAGGAGGTTGAGGAAGGAGAATCGCTTGAACCTGGGAGGTGGAAGTTGCAGTGAGCTGAGATCACACCACTGCATTCCAGCCTGGGTGACAGAGTGAGGCTTGTCTCAAAAAAAAACAAAATTTTTTGTCCTAAGTGGTTTAATGCAGGAAGAGAAAACCAAATACTGCATGTTCTCACTTATAAGTGGGAGCTAAACATTGGGTACTCAGGGACATAAAAATGGCAACAACAGAAACTGGGAACTTCTAGAGGGGGAAGGTAGAAGGAGGGCAAGGGTTGAAAAACTAACTATTGGATGCTATGATCAGACCTGGGTGGTTGGATCAATTGTACCCCAAATCTCAGCATCACGCAATATGCCCAGGTAACAAGCCTGCCCATGTACTCCCTAAATCTAAAATAAAGTTGAGGGCCTGGCACGGTGGCTCACACCTGTAATCCCAACACTTTGGGAGGCTGAGGTGGGCTAATAACCTGAGGCCAGGAGTTCGAGACCAGCCTGGCCAACATGGCAAAACCCTGTCTCTACTAAAAATACCAAAAAAAGTTAGCCAGGTGCGGTGGTGCATGCCTGTGATCCCAGCTACTTGGTAGACTGAGGTAGGAGAATCGCTTGAACCTGGGAGGTGAAGGTTGCAGTGAGCCAAGATCATGCCACTGCACTCCAGCCTGGGTGTGAGAGATGGAAATGTTCTTCAAAGTTTATATCTCAGACTATATTATGTTACAATCTCTTGTAACAAGGAGTTACAGTGTCTTGCTTTATGGTCATTATCCACTATTAGCATAAACATATAACAATGTACATATATTCTCTAAATCAGCCACATCTTAAATCAGGTAACTTGACTGGCTCCAGCATGTCTGAATAGAACTGGGCAAGCTCCAAACCCTGGTGCATGCCATTCCTTATTTGGAAACCCTCCTAACCTTCTCCTGACTAGCTTCCCCTTTTTCCTTGTCTTCTTTCCAGCTTATCTATTCAGGAAATTTCCAAGATTTTAGCCAATTGGGTCAAGCATAGAATGTGAGGTCCCATTCCACCCAATGGAAATGGGACACAGCAATAGGGCAACGGCGTCAGGTTATGAAAGTTATAAATGTCCCTTTCTCCTTTGTTCAGGTGTGCTCTCATGGCAAGACTGGCAGCGAGTTGCACCCTTACTGCAGGAAGTAAACTAGCCTTGCTGAGTGATCCATTGTCTCAGTATGAATTTTTCCCAACATTATAAACCTGTTTCCAACATATTTGGGGGCTCGTCCAGGATTCCATTTCCCCTCTAGGGCAGTCCTTTGTCCTCTCTTGTGGGGAGGCACCCCACCACCCTATTGGGGTGGCCCTGGGGGAGAGAGTCAGGACTTACCTGGTGTGAGGAATAAACCTGGATTCTCGGGAACACAGCAACACAAGGGAAAGAGATTCCAAACCACGGTGACCAAGGGCCTCGGCCAGGCAACCTCGTGCATAAGCCAAGGTAGGAAATGCTGCAAAGAGGCGACAAAGTATTTCATTGGTGGTCAATTTCTGGAGGGTGGAATGTGTGTGTGAATGTGGTGGTGTTTGTGTGAATGGTGACAAGTTTTACTGCTGGGGAGTGGCCAAGGAGGACGGCACAAATGAGAAAAGTGTAAGGGACCTTCAGAAGGGGGAAGGGAGGAAACAGGTCAACCTCCCAGGGCAGGGAGGGCAAGAAATTCCCAGCTTGAGGGGTTGAGCCTTCTGTAAAAAACAGAATAGGTGAGAGATTCCCAGTTTGGGGGGTTGAGTCTTCCATAAAAACGGAATAGGCGAGATTCCCAGCTTGGGGAGTTGAGTCTTCTGTAAAAACGGAATAGGCGAGATTCCCAGCTTCGGGGGTTGGGCCTTCCATAAAAATGGAATAGGCAAGAGATTCCTAGCTTCAGGGGTTGAGTCTTCCATAAACAGAGACTCTGTCTCAAAAAAAAACCTTAATTATTAAATAAAGTTGAGGGCCGGGCGCGGTGGCTCAAGCCTGTAATCCCAGCACTTTGGGAGGCCGAGGTGGGTGGATCACGAGGTCAAGAGATCGAGACCATCCTGGTCAACATGGTGAAACCCCGTCTCTACTAA